ATATATATATGTATGTATGTATGTATATATATATATATATATATATATATGTATGTGTGTGTGTGTGTATGTGTATATACATATATAGATGTATATATATTGTATATATGTATGTATATATATATATATATATATATATTCTGTGTGTGAGTTCTACCAGAAGAACTTGTTATATATATATATATATATATATATGTATGTATGAAAAATCGTAATATTAATTTATCTGACTCAATTTATGATCTCATAATGCAAGAAAGCTGTGTACTTCCCTTCTCAGTTCCCAACGGGTCATGATCAAATTTATAGTCATACTTTAGATCACATCGGCAAGAGACCAGTTGACTTCATACATGTATATGAATATATTACAGTCATAAAAATGGCACACGTTTATATTAAATTACAATTGTGTGTGATACTGTATAGTGTCTCGTCTTGCACAAAACAGATCCATACATCAGGCCGTGTGGTCTGGCATACATCAGTTGCGGTTATCTTTGTTTAATGCGTTAGTCGATCTTCTTGGATCGAGCCTTCTTCTTAGGAGCCGCCGCCGCAGACACGGCTGGGGGTGGTGGTGCGGTGGCGGTGGTGTCGTCTGTGGTTGTTGGGTTCATCATGTCCATGAGCGGGTTTTTCTCCTTCCATGGGCGTGCTAGAGCGCCTTCGGCTTCCTGTCCCAACATGTGCACACGGAACAGCGGTGACATGCACAGCGTAATCAACTGCGTCACACACTGGATGAACAAAGGCTGCACATAGTCGAACTGGTAGTTAAGGAACGACACCACACCCGACGCAATCAGCACCTGCGAGCGCATACGCCCCACCTCGGCGTAGTCATGTTCTTGTATAGTCATCATCTGAGGCTCCCTGCAGGGTCAGCGAGAGTGGGCGGTGCATTAGCGCCCGCAATTGAATAGCAGGAAAGGGTCTATGAATAGGTGTGACTATGTCACCAGATTACTGACGCCTTACTGTGCGCCAACACACGTACAACAGGCAAGCACCCCAGGCTAAAAGCATGCCATCAAGCGCTAACAGGGGTGGAAAGAATTCAGAAGAATAGTCATAAACGGCACGTGCGAAGGTGTGGAAACCTCTTATACTGATGAACATAATCCTAACAACCAAAACGTGTAGCTGAAACATATAACGAATATATACCCTGCACACTCTGAAGAAGCCCTGCTATAATTAATGATCAATTGAGCCTCAATGAGAATATATATGTACTACAAATTGCGTACATCTTTATCGTATATATATATATATATATATATATATATATATATATATATATATATATATATGTGTGTGTGTGTGTGTGTGTGCGTGCGTATATATATATATATATGTGTTTGTGTGTGTGTGTGTATAAATATAGATGCATTTGTATCTGCATATACATAGGCATATAAATATAATCATATATATATATATATATATTCTTGTATATATATGTATATTTTTATATATACATATACATATACATATATATACACATACATATATACATATATATATATGTATGTGTATATGTGTGTGTGTGTGTTATTTAATACATATATATGTGTGTGTGTGTGTATAAATACATATGCATATGCCTATGCATTTACATACGCATACGCATACGCGCATATATATATATATATATATATATCTGTATATACATATACGTAAATACATATATATATATATTGGACCGATACAATCACACTCGGTGGCACCGTCATTAGTATATATCGCTAGCACACATCCAACAACCACACCCACCAAACCATGGCTTCCCTGAATAAATACACCACTGTTTCATTGAATAACATTTGCGATAAATTATCATTGCGCCATCGTAAGAACATAGTGGAAACCAAAAAGTCAACAGATTAACAGCTAGACTGAACACACTAGCTGAGCACAGATAAACCGGATAGATGCAAGATCTGACAACGTTATCGTGACATGCATAAAAGGTTACTTACTGTCCTGCCGCCTCAACAGAAACCTTGACCGATGGGTCAAATTTCATAGAAGCGATCTTCTGTGAGATGACGAACATCATGATCAACGAGAACGTGGCACTGCACCCGAACCCAATTTGTAGATAGAGGATTGTGTCGGGGTCCTTCATATCCAAATATTGGATCTGCAAAGTTTGAACGTTGAAAACTGAGTCAATGTTGTTTACAGAGTCTACATACCAACCGAGGGCAAGGGGGGTGGGTAACAGATATCCGCTACAAATGAATACATTACAAATCGGCCGTGTGGTTCATTCGAATGCGATTCTGAACGTTCCCGTTTAACATTGAAACATACTTATCAAAAGGAAACAGTCAAAAGCTAACTATAACCGCAGGACAGAATGATTGAGAAATGCGAATATTCGAATGCGTTCGCCCATAGCGTTTTTAATAACTGAAGCCGCATGCATCGTAAGTGTGTTACAATTGCCAAACAAAGAACAAATATAAACAACTGCAGGCAGGAGAAGGGAATTGTGAAGCAGGATTCCGAAGGAGCAGAATATGTTGAGGCTGGACACCGACTATAGTTTACATCCGTGAGACAACGCAAAACGTGCAGTCTGAATATAATGTTTAGAACAGACATATACGTGACAAATCGATGAACCAACAGCAACTAGTCACAGAGTGGAATATCTAGCTTCTTTCGTATACATATTTGCAGTGCATACAGATCCTATTGTTAAATATAAATATCCCTGAGCGTATATGACCCTATGATCAGCACTGGACAGACGCGATGTCACGCAAACAGATACACAGGAAGAATATAAGCCATGTATTCTTGTGTGTAAGCGACCCCGAACTAAAGATGATCAGAATTCCGTCTATCGAAAAAAGCGGCCAAAGTAGAAGCAAAGACTGGATCACGTTCGTGGTCATCGTAATATCGTCACATGAACTCGATATTTGTACATCGTTAACGTGGTCGTAAAATAGATAGTGTTCTTGACAGTTGAATAAATACATTGACACGTCAGACGTAATGCTTGAGAGAAGCCAGCAGTTATTTTGAAAGAGGTGCTGCCTCGTGATCAGCAAGCATCAACAAGGTAAGCATATTGCTCAGAAGGTGAAAGGAATGCGACGAAACCTTATACGAAGCGCTTCTTTTGCAAGCATAGTACCCAGTATTTCAAGAAGTTACATGAACAAACCATGTACATTACAAAACATGAATGTGCATGATCTATGACCTGACTAGGAACTGCAGGTGCTACGCGACGCAAATAGGAACGTAAACTGCACTCGAGCAAATGATTCGATATGGTAAAACACACACAACAGAAAACAAACTTGTACTGACACTTACGCCGGCAAGGATAGGCAGCATAGTGTACAGTTGCGCCATGGTGAAATGGGTGGGGATGGGTCAACTTCGTGGGGAGGTTCTACTAAATGGTGGGTGGCGGTGTTGTACTGCTGTTGGCGCTGGGCAACTTTCATCATATTTGATTTTCTCACATACCCTCAACCAACAGTAAAACAAAATCATCAGACATCATGGCTACCAAACTGTCACCGGCGGTCCCCTTGTCACGGGGGTGTCAATTTGTCAGTGACAGTAATGAGTATAAGTGACGACCTCCTACAAATATTCTTGTACAGAAAGCAGTACCACTGCATATCTTCGCTTACTGATTCGCTTATTCGAAACAATATGATAGTATGTCAAGTATTTGTATACTTTAATTGGTGATCCAAAATAAATGAGACTTTATACAAATCAAAACGAATGTTTTGTTTCATTTTTTCATCTAATCTTAACTCTACAAAATCATTGATAATTACAAGTAAACCAACAATATATGATCAAATAAACCAAGGAGTGAATCTTTCTCACATCAGCTAATGGTTATTCTCAATAGGTGTACTCACACGCGCGTATGAGCACTCAGGAATCGTAAGGTTAGAACATGAGTCCAAGCCTGCAGACAGTACAGAGTAGACTGCAGATGCCAGATACGGCGACACCTTAAACTGGGGGGACACCTCCACCGCGCTCCACGGCTCCACCCCAACAGGTAAAATATATTGCTGTGGATTGCGAGCAGCATGCTAGTTCGACAAACATTTTGGCCCGGTTCTCATACTTGCTACTAACAATTATCTATTTGTCTGCTAATCACCGCCTAAGTGTACGATCCATATCACGATGCCCATAAATCTCGAAGAAGAAATGAAGGGCAAAGCACCCTCGGCCGACAAGTCTCAGGAGGAGGAACCTAAAGATCCCGAAAATCAGATGTTTGACGACGAGACACTCAATGGGCTGGGTGACACATTCGCAGAGGCATTCGAAGATCAATTAGGTGCGACAATCGGAACGTAAAAGGGATTTATTGTTTTGCGTTCGCCGACCTACCGCTGATAATTAGTTTTCCTTTCGCTGGTACTAATCTATACTCTGATATATATGATATATATTTATAT